GGGGGGGGGGGGCTGGTGATGTGATGGAGTCCCAGAGCCTGTGAACCCCTGGACTCTGGTTCTAGGGTTGAGGGCTTAAGTGCAGGGGCCCCACCCCAGCATCCCACCAGTACAGGCCCAGCAGATTTCATAAGGTTCTCGGCCTATCTCTAAAACTTTAAGCTGAAATGCAGTGTAGATTTTTGGAAGAAGGTGCTGGAAAGAGTAGGAGGAGAAGAAATGGAAGGTTTCTTCCCAGCCAGGGCTCAAAGGACAGGTACCACCTGACAGGCGCCCACGCAGGGAAGGCCGGCGGGGACCCGGGAGGGCAGCTGCATGGTGGCCCACCTGGGGAGAACCACCTCCACGCTCATCCCGTTTTACTCAGCTACTAAATAAAAAACTGAAATCAATAACATATATATAATATACGTTTAGAAAACCAAAAACTGGTACAAGTATCCCCCCAAATACAGAGATCAGGTGATGAGATGAACAAGACACACACCTCCAAACGTTTAAGACAAGGCCCCAACGATGTGATAAAAAACACTTCGCTGTTTTTCCAGGAGGAAAAATCATCCGTTTAAAAAATTCTAAGAATATTGTTATCAGCTCTGTGGCCAGCTTCCCGCGTTAGCGGCTCCCAGGCAACGCGAAGGCCTCCTGCGGCCTTAGAGAGCAGCTGGACGCCCCCCACCCCCGGGGGGGATAAAAGGGAATAGTCTACCCTGCTTAAGGATATTTTAAAATATAAAAGCATTTTGTTGGAAATTTAAATTTCAAGCCAGCGTATTAACCGGCGGACCTGAGGCGAGGCGGCCACAGAGCGCGGTGGCGGTCTGAGGTGTTTGGCCGCCTCGCCCTCGCCCTTGCCCTCGCCCGCCGCTCGGCCCCTCCGCGACAGCCGGGGACAAGCGGGCCTCAGTGTCCCCGCCTGCCCGCTGTCGCCTGTCCCCACAGCTCACCGTGCACGTGGGCCTGGACGCCGCCGCCAAGGCCGTGGTTCTAGAACAGTGCGGCAGGAACCAGAGTTATCGCGAGACCGATGTCCGCGGCTTCCGGCCCGAGCGCGGCGCGTGCCTTCCGGATGGCCCGGAAGTGATTGAGTCGCGGGTCAGCATGAAGGCGGTCAGCCGGCGCGTGGCCGTGGAGGGCGTGCCGGTGGCGTTTTCCCGCGACGCGGGCAGGTGTGTTCTGTCGCGTTCCCGAGCGCATAGGGGAGGATGGCCGCGGTGTCCTCGGACCCCTCTTTCTTCCAGGAGGTCCCCCCATCTCCACCCCCACCCCGGGGTCCAAGGCCCCCTCCCCTTAACACGGCCTTTGGGGTGTTGGTAGAAAAAAGACGTGAAGGCCTATTTTGAGAGCCACTGATTTTTATGGGTGCTTTTGTTTTATTGATTGCGGGCAAAATTGTGCTTGAACTATTATGATTTAGCCCCAGGTAGAGTTGAACTTACCTTTGTTTCTCCTAACGTTGTCTCCCAGTAGGTAGCTTCTCCTCCCCGCAAAAAAATGAATGAATCTGTAATAGGCACGAAGGAGAGGGGTTCACGGGTCAGAGGGATGGAGGAGGGCGGGTGGGTGGAGGGGGAGAGAGTAGCCAAAGAATTTATATGCATATATGCACAACCCGAGGACATGGACAATGGTGGGGAGAGGGACTGGGGAGGGGGAAGGGACAGGGTGGAACGGGTCACTGGGGAGACAAAGGGACATCTGTAATATTTTAAACAAAAATAAAATTAAAAAAAAAAAAAGG